ACGCCGCGCTAGGACGTGCCAGACTCCGAGGCCGGCCAATAAGTGACCTTTCCCAGAGCCTTCAGAACCACCAAGTTCATAAATTTTATACCCCCGTGGCCGAGACTGCCTAGGTACAGATCCTAGCCAGTAGCTTCGCAGAGTTCTCTACGTCGACCCCCGGGGGGTATGCGATAAGTAAGTGAAACGTTCAAGAACAAACTAAAACACTTATTTAAATTACATAGTATCATTTTATTGTGATTATTGATTTCGTGCCACAGTCGGCACGGCTAACCCAAGTCCCGTATCACAGAGTGTTGATAGCGATAAGCAATTCTTTTCCAAAATGCTCTGAGAAGAAATTACAAAGAAATCAACAGCAATTCCGTGCGCTGTACTTCGGCAGTAATTAATTATCAATCATTCCGGTGACAAATAAATAATAGCGTTATTCGTCGCTTTCTGTTAGTGGAAATGCCATTCAGAGGGTACTCTAGATACAATTTTGCAATTGTAACCTGGAATAACCAAATTCATGAGCGGTATCTTAAATCGTATGATACAGCCTTCTAGTGTCATAATAATTTTAATATTTTCAAACTTAAATAACTTTCGGCATGCGATCATATGGAATGAATAAAAGCGTAGAACATTTTCTGTCAGGGAAACACTTTTTGAAAATATTTTTACTGGCGACTGAAAGTAATTCTTAAGAGGGTAAAAAATAAATCAAAATTAATTTATTTAAAAAAAAAAAAGACCTTGTTGAATATTAAAAAATTCTTTACATGGTAAAATTGGGTTTCAAGAATTAATTGAGTGGAAGTAATGAAATTCATTATTCTCACAACTTTTCTCTATTCCAGACGTAATGAATCCAGTAAATTTTATTTCAATTAGAAATTTACTAATAAAATTTTCTGTACCTCGTTGTCCATGCTCAATATTGTCAATCTTGCAATCAAAAAATGGCTTCTTTCTACTTTTGCATTTTTTGCAACTTTAGTGTTTTTTTTTCATTATCGTTTCCTGTTTAGCAGCTCAATTATTTGAAAGCTATTGCTGCGAGCAGAGGTTTTTCTCCTACTGTTATGAAATGAAGCTTATAAAAATATTCATTCTTACCGTTAGAAAGAACCTTCTTCATTAAAACGATTATAATAATTTTGCTGCCGTCCCAGTTTACTCTTTTGTCATCATTGTTACAAAATTTTCTGGATTCTCCATTTCAGGTTCTTATTTATTTTTCTCGTTTTAATAAAATATAGTATCCAATCCATAAAAGACCTTATTTCAGATTCTGGAGAATAACATTAAATTAAAATGTTAAAAATGATTTAATGTAATCATTTAAGACAGTTAAAATTTCGCACTAAGGAACTTCAATTTTATTTCAGAAGTTTAAAAATCAGCAAATCATTATTGATCCCTTAATAATTCTTTTAATTTTTATTCAGTTAAAGTCATCCAAAGCATTTTTCAGTTGATTATTCAAATATTCTTGAAACGTTCTCCATTCATCAAAATCTGCCAACTTTAGTTAATAATTTTCGGTTTTCCCGTCTGTTTTAAACTCTTACATCATAATCTTAATCATTTCTAGTCTAATTATTTAAAGAAGCTATTATCTTTGTTACTTCTGTTTTTATTTATTAATTTTTATTTCTTTTATTGAAGTATTATTAGCCGGTGGCGTCGCCAGCCGCCTAAATTAGTTACTGTAAAAAAGAAAAATATGTAATGCTTTTATGAACTCAGCTCAGTGGTTCTCAACTTTTTTTGCCCCATGCACCCCTTTCACTGTACATTTATTTAGATGATTTTTTAAGGGCATAGCGGGAAGCAGGTAAAGTCAGGCTGACCGCTTTCCCCCTTTCCCTGTGAAATCCCCCCTAATTGAGAACCCCTTGTCTAGCTAGTGTAATTTTGAGTCCGAGTAGTAATTAATTATAACAGAGAAAAAGAACTGAGTTTATTGCTTTTTAATAGTTTAGTTTGTTGGTCAATAAGAGATTAAATTTGAAAGAAAATTAAATATCTTACGCTTCTCGAAATGGCAACAAGCTGGCGCTTGGGAGCTTAAAAACATTTTGTATGGGGCAGTAGCAGTGCAGGATTTACGTGTAAGCTATACAATCTATAACTTAGGGCCCCCCAAAATTTAAAGTGTAGTATAAATATAGCATTAAAATACAGTATAACAGGCTTATAAAGGTCTCCATGTTTCAAATAGCTTAGGGCCTCATCAAGTCTAAATCCGGCCCTAGACAGTAGTAACACATTTCTTGTAAATCGCCGTGTTTTCCGATTAAACTTGAAATACTTTGCTGAGTGGCTGCATGTTAATCGCTGACTTTGTTAATCAGAAATTCAATAAATTCTCGAAAATATGAAATAAATATATATAAAAAAATCGAAATTCAAAATCTGGGCTTCGAGGTCCTCGTACTCGGGTGGAGGATTACGTGTGTTGAAAATTTGCTAGTTCTAATGTTCCGACGTTTCCCCACAATGCAAAGGAGCATGCGTAAAGATTCTTTATTGTTTCTTAATTAATTGAGATAAGGCTGGCATAATAGCACAAAGTTTGAAGCTACAGTGTTCATAACAGCTTTTTATAGGAAATAGCTCTTGTGTAAAACCAGTCTCAATATTTGATGTTGAATTTTATAAAATTTTAAAAATTCCTTTTTGGCCTCTTAATTATCAAAAGAATGTTTTACGGAGACAAATGAGAAAAAAATATAACTTTTGATTTCTTTTTTAATGTCACTGGATCGGCGGCATCCTAGTTCCCCGAAACACAAGAAGGCAAAGCCACGTCTTTCTTCAAGAAAAATCATATGCACAGTGTTTTGGGTGTGTCAAGGCATTTTATTAGTGGATTGGACGGAACGAGGCACAACAATCAACGCTACGGCTTACTGTAAGACACCGAGTTAGATATGGCGCGCGATACCGAATAAAAGGCGTGGACTAGACTTCTGGTGCTGTGTTTGTGCATGACAACACGCATACCGCACGCGTTACAACGACGCTGCTTGATTAATTTCGCTGAAAACAATTCTGTCACTCTCCTTATAGTCTGGACCTAGCTCCATCCGACCTCCATTTGTTTTCTCGTTTGAAGAAATTTCTTGCTGTCCAGTATTTTAAGAGTCCAGTATTTTAAGTATAAGTTATGATGAGATCAAGGTAAACGTCCAGAAATGGTTCAGGTCGTAGGCGGCCGAATTCTACGAAGCGGGTATGTTTCAGTTAGTGCCAAGATTGACACATGCCTTAGTTCCCGTGATGAATATCAGGGAAAGTATTTTAAGGTCTGTAGATTTTTCTGTAATAAAATATAAATGAAAACAAATTGCTAATCTTTTGTAATATCCAAACGTTACTTACTTTCTGGATGAGCTTTGTATTATACATTGATTTTGAGATATTTTCAGGGTTAGAAGGCATAATTTTGCCTGTTGGTATTTGAATTAGTGAAGAGTTTTCCGTAGTGTGTATACAGTGAAGTTTTTTTTTTTTTTTTTTTTTTTTTTTTTTTTTTTTTTTTGTTGATACTTAATTATAGGCAAATATGAGCGCTGTTTGCTTCTAAAGGTGTGGTACGTATAGGAAAAATTTTATTTTGTACAACATATGGCAACTGTTTCATTTTTGAACAAAGAATTGGCATAAATTTGAAATCTTTTCATACCTAATTGATTATTTTAATTAAATTATCTAAACCCTTTGATAAGTGTGTATAACTGAAGTACTGTGGGCAATGATATTGATTCTATGCATATTTTCTATGCATATTTTACGTTAATATAACAATGCTGCAGTATTCTTAACTTGTAGAATCTAGTTAGTTTTGAAAATGAATTTGAGAACAGTTTGTTTTTTAAAATTCGTTTCATTTTAAAAAGTATTATTATTGTGTATGTGACACATTTTATGCTCAAATATGTATGGATCACGAGCAGGCAATAAAATTCTACATTTTTTAAAACGGCAGTAGTCTTATAAGGTCAGAAGACAGCGAATAATATATTTGCATATTTTGTATAACTTTTCCTCCAGAATTTTTTTTTTCTTTTTTTAGGAAAGAGAACTAAGTATACTTCGTCCACTTTTTTTAACCCTTTGCACTTGGGGCCTTTTTCGCGCGGTGCATCAGCAACTCGAGACGTTTCTCGGCCTTTTTTTGACGCATTTCTTAACAGTAATTTAAAATCAAAACATAACAAATTAATGTATAATATTTTTATATTTTAACATTTTATAAATCTTTACACCTTTATAAACATAATTTCTGAAATATTAGTCTCTGTAATTTTTCTGCGTATGATATTTCATGTAACAATTCCCATGACGCGTGCTCGGCTTGTCGGGGCAAGTATTACAATAATGTGTCGTTTGATGCCTTTTTCCGGGTTCATTTCTCTGAGAAGAGACTTTGTGATGGATAAGGAAAGGTAAGATTTCAAATAAGAAAATCTTATCTCATTTAAAGGAGTATAATTTTACACTTTATAGATTATACAGAAAGAGCGCTTCGAAGAAACTAAACATAAACGTTATTGCATCGAGTTTCCGCATGGCATCAAGTGGTGAGCGAGAGAGTCACCTCTCGAGTTGCGGCATCAAATCACATGGTGAGTGAGAATCATTTCTCGAGTGCAAAGGGTTAGCTTACTTTTAATTTTTTTTTTTTTTTTTTTTTTTTTAAGGTAGAATATAGTATTACAAAGAAATTCCACATTTCATTTTATAAAATGTCACCTATTACTAGTATTTGAAACTGAGTTTCTGAGTTTTTAAATGTTGGAGAATGCGTTGTTTCTTTTCATCTTTTTTTTTTTATTTAAGAAGTGATATATCCTATCTTGCTAAAGGATTTGCTGTCTGATTTTTCATCGAGTTTTGTTAAATCTAGTATATCTTTTAATCATTCAGAAACGACTGCCTATTAAAAAAACATCATACCTCCCCCCATGTTAATAAAAGATTTTTTGTTTCATATATTTTAGGAACTGCCATGGAATACTTAATGTACGCGGCAGAACTTGAAAACATGGGACAATTCCTGTAAAATCCAGTGACCTTCCAGTATGGCGCAAAATGAAGTAAATATGGCTTTGCAATTGTTCTTCCTTTTTGCAATTGTTTATATCTTATTTCGTATACGTATCTCTTTGTAGACTAATAAATAATTATTAAAAAACTCTAATTAATGAGGTTATATTAAACGTATGTTGAATAAGAAAACAGCATACCAGAAAAATAAAACCGGAACTATTTCCTTATTAACTAATTATTGTAAGATATAATTAACATTTATTTCTACATTAAAATCTGTTCTACATCTATCTATCTTCATTTATTCACCCAGAATATATAAATAAAATGAATTTAAAATAAGCGTGAAAGTAAGAGATTTTGACACTATCAACCTGCCGCACTGAAACTTTTTTGTTATTATCTGTCTTGAGCGCTTTGCACCAGCTGGTGAATTTTTCTTAATTCACCAGTTAATTAAAAATTAAGTTAGTCGCCGAAAATTAAGTTAGCTTTGTTGAAGTAGCAAAGCCAGGTGATTAGACCTTTAAATTAAGTTTTGACATGTAAATGTTTTGCAACTTATTTGTCAACCCTCAAGAGACGTTAATTGTTATATTTCTATACTTGAAGCTTGAATTTAAATAAATTCTTTCGTTATTTTACATTGCTGCAGTTATTTAGCGTTTTGGCATTGATAGATAAAGATGGGATGTCCCGGCAGTTTAGAAAGAGAGATTAGTGTTTATTTTATGCCAAGCTGAATTTAATTTTATATAGCTAATGCAAGTTTGCAGATTAGGATTTAAATCTTAGCTTGTGCAAACTGTGAAGACATGAGCTTGATATTTAGGATTTTTTATTTGCATGCACTATATTAAAATTAAAAAAAAATACGGTTGGATATTACTGGAACGGAACTCGGCCAACTTAAACAAAATGTATTTATAAATCTTTAACTGTTTAATAGAAATTTCTAGATTAAGTTCACGAAACTTTAAATTTAAATTTAAACTTTAATTTTTAAACATTTCTTTATATTATATATAAAGCTAAAAATAGCGAAACGTAAAATATGTTATCCACTTTTAAGTGCCCGAAAGGAAATGGGAAAGAGCATCGATCAAAGTGGATAAAAAGGGAATGGAATGTAAGGAAAACGAAAGAAAAATTTGACGGAAACGTTGCTTTTAAAAGAACCAAAAGAGTGAAGAGGTCCTGGTTTTTCCTGAAAAAATACAACATTAATGTCGGTTTCTCTTTCGTTGAGTGCTCTTTCGGAATTCCAGGGGACAAATAACTTTCCAGATTTTCTGCCTAGGGCTTATTTTGTTGAAGTGAAAGGCATAGGGAATAAGACAGTTTTTTTTTGGGGGGGGAAGAGAATGCGAATGTTTTCTGCACATGAAAGCAGAATTTTTAGCGGCTCGAAAAAGTATGTTAGACTATAGAATAATGGCTCAAGTCCAGCACATTTAGTAAGCTAAAATTTCTTTTTGTAAGCACATGTGCTGAAAATTAATCATAACTTTATATTCTGTTGTAGGTTAATGCCATGGTTTACAAACCTGGAAAGTCAGGCCCCGTGCAGAAGACAGAGAATAATCAGAAAGAAGAGAGTGGTAACAAGGTAAGACTTCTGTCGGAAAATTTGATGATTTTATTTATATCTGAACCAGCAGAATTATAAATGTGTTTCGTGGGAGAATAGAAAAAGGTTAGTCCAGTATTAAATTTTAGGAAAAAAGTCCTTTTTTATTTTTTTGTCAAAAACCTGTGGAATTCTTTTTTTTTTTTTTTTTTTTTTTCCTTAAGATTTAATTCCTTTGCTATGCTTGAATAGCTATGTGATTACTTATGCACGTGTCATTAAGTCTGCTTATATTAGTTTCTTGCGAATGGTATAATTCAGAACATAACAGGAAAACAGTGGGAATTTCTTGTATGATGGAAATTCGTAATTGTGATATGACTAGTGGAAAACTCTGGTTCAGACGTAATGGATATTTTGGTTCTTTTTTTAGGAAAGCGAGGCTATAAATATAATTCGTTCGTTTCGAGGGCATTTAAGCATCATTAGTAGCATTACCTTGGGAAGCGTTTGGCTCCAGACTGCAAAACATCGCTAATTAGGATTGTCAGTAAAAAAAAAAAAAAAAAAAAAAAAGTATTAGATACAGCTTTGAAGGTTTCTCAGTGTTAAACGCATTGATTATTAAACAGACTACTGAACAAACGTTTCTGAAGTGATGTTACTAACGGGAAACGTGTCTTTTCCATGATATGACAGTATGGTGGTAAAATCCTTCTAAGCTTCAGAAATATCTTCCCTAGTTTGAAGAACGCTAAGAAAGCTTGAGCGACCTATTTACTTCTTAAAATATATGTACTTAATAGGAATGACTATTGTATAAGGCAACAACCTACTTACGTATTAAGCAACAACTTTGGGCAATTTCGGGATTTTTTACAGATGTAGAGGCAAAAGTTACTTAGCGGCTACAAGCAGTCCCGGATCTAGCGGGGGGGGGCAAGCCGGGGTTCTTGCCCCGGGCGGCAACTCTCTCGGCGGCAAATTCAAATATAACGCTGGATCGTATTTGGTATGTTGCTCGCTAAAACAGCTGTCTAATTTTAGTACAATGTTAATAGTTTTAAGGCCAAGTTTAAAAACCTCTTTTAAGAAGATTTATAATTAAATACTAAGACCCCTTTTAAAGGAGCATGTGCTAAAATAAAGTTAAGTACAGCCAATTACAACTATAAATATAAGATCAGAATTAAGTGGAAAATTCGAGTACAACAAATGAAATCGGGCCAAGGCATCGATCACGACACTGAGTGTTTCACACAGAGAAAGAAAAATGGAGAGAAATTCTATATAGTCTTGGATGCGGTACTGTATCTTTCAACAAACTGTCGTTCTTTTCTTGGGTCTGATGATATCCCGTTCACAAAGTGTCTTCGACCTAGCGAAGGAAATTTTCTGAATTTAATCTCTCCGTTTGCCAAACATAATTCAACTCTTAAGTACCCGTCAACGCACAAAACAAAGGTAAAGGAATCATATTTATCAAAGATAATTCAAAATGAAGTTATTAACTTAAAGGCAAAACAATCTGAAGTAGCATTTTAAACGATATTAAAGAAGCCAAATACTACCCAATAACGTTCGATTGCACTCCATATGTGTCTCATACGGAAAAAAAATGAACCAGGTGATTCAATATGTAAAAACGTGTGGTGATGTGTGTGAGATAAAAGGAAATTTAATTGATTTCATAGAAGTTGGTGGAAAGATAAGAGAATGTATTTCTCAATGCATTGTAGGAAATTAATGTATTAATTGACACTTGATGGTTTAGATATTGTACAATGTCGGTGTCAGTCTTACGACAACGGGTCTAATTTGGCTGGCATTTCTAGAACAGTACAAGATTATAGAAATGAATAAGCTGGAGGAATTTGTACCATGTTTGGATCACTCCTCGTATCTTGTCGGTGTGCATTCTGCTTCTTTGTGCTCGGAAGCAGTTAATCTGTTTGGAATTACTCAGAAAATACTTCGCTTTTTTGTCGGATGCACTACTCGATGGTATATTATGAAAAAATGTACAAAATACAACTTAAAAGGAAGCAGCCAGACAAGATGATCGGCAAAATATGTGACTGTGAAAGTCCAAATTAAAGATATTTCTCTTGATGCCGAATCAAACCACGAGGTAGGACATCTGGTACATGCTGTGAAAATTTTTGAATTTACTATCAACCTGAAAATTAGAGCTAATATTTTTCCAGAATTCAATCGAGTAAATATAGAAATTCAAAAGGAATTCCTCTTCCGCGTTCTGTGTAGTTAACGAAAGAACTGACCAAAACTGAGGAATTATAAAAAATGAGAGAAAAATTCTATGGAATATTGGATACAAGAGTCTAAAACACTAGCCGAAAAAATTGCAGTTAAGTCTATTCTAACGAAGAAAAAATTCCATATCACAAAAAAGCAATCTGATGCACTGTTTGAGGACGAATCACGAACACTTCAACCTGTTCAGATCGAAGTTTCAGCAAATTAAAACATATTAAAAACTATCTACGATCATCGGTGAGCCAGGAGCGTTTATGAAGTCTTGCCGATTCTGGCAACCGAAAATCAAACCGCAGATCAAATTATGACGATTCCATGCACTTATTTGCAGAACAAAAGGCTTGCAGAATAAAATTTTAATTTTCGTTACTAATTCCGTGATATTTTAATAGCGTTAAGGCAGGTAAGGACTTAAAATTGCTTATGAAATAGGAAGTATGAAAAACAAGACAGGAAGCAAGAATACTCTGAGTGATAGCCCATATTCTATATAATCTTTTCAGAATTTTTCCTTTCCGCAATAGCTGATATTTTGTATGTAATGGCTCCATTAGTGACTGAGCAATAAAAGCCGCTGAGCACTAGTAGTTCAGTCAGAGGGTCAAGTGTATGCGAATGTGCTGGCTATAAGAGCATATCCGTGATTTTCCCCGTGTGTAACATACATAAGAGCTAGTTTCCCTTACAAAAATTTTTCCACTGGGCATTCCTCCTTTTCCATGCAGTGCCTAATGGCGAAACACATAGTAAATAATGAGACAAATGTCCTCAGCAGTGGCCGATTCATTAAGACCACTGAAAACTGGTAGTTCGACCTTGCCTGGGTTCAAACCCAGACGAATGGGCGGGCTGCATGGTTTGTTTTCGTGGATTTCCTCATGTGTAACGTGAATACGAGCCAGTTTCCTTTAAAAAGTTTCTCCACGAAAGCACCTCTCCTCTAAGCAAATAGCTCTCCTGTCTTTGCCATATTCATATAATCTAACGTAACGTAATTTAACCAGTATGCAATAACACGGAATAGTGAGAAGATTAGGAGAAATGGATTTTCCTCTTAGAGCGGAAAAACGAATGGTTTCGAGGACTGGAGAGTTAGAAGCACTTCAGGGTTAAATTAGGATTAGGATTGAATCCGAAAGTAAGCTCACCAGAAAGGCGGTTCTCCTAGTAGAGGACGATTTTCTAATTTTGTAACTTTGGTACGTATTTTTCCTTTATATATATATATATATGGAGCTTAGGTTTTTACCTCAAAACCTACGTATTTCTGTATTTATTAAACAAATTAAAACTTGTTAGAGAAACTTAAAGGATGATGGGTGAGGGCGGCAGTTTTAGCTTTTACCCCACATCAGAAAAATCAAAGATCCGGCGCTGGCTACAAGTTAGAGGTATTCGTGCCCCCCCCTTTTTTTTTTTTAGAAAGATTTTCAGATTAGTGATATTTGTCGTAAGTCGGTAAACATTATCAACATATAAAAAGAAAACATACTTCAGCAATTTAAATACAAATCTGAATTATTAAATAAGGATTGCGTGAAAAATTAAAAAATAAAACATTTAACTTCTTCTTCAAATCTTTCCGTAATTTTTTTGCGATATTTTCCCGAAGTGCGCAGCGATCTGTTTTCGCTTTAAAAAACAGAGAATTGTAAAGACTCGGCTTCACGCAACCCTCAGTAACAGTTGCTATCGAGGAAACGCTTTTCCTTATTGTTCTATTTTAAAAAAATTCCGCAATATTCTGTATTCTTGCAAAAATTTTACTGCAGTTTCTTCCATCATCGACAATTAAGTTGAAGGCAAAAAATATCACGAATTGCTTACAAAAACTGTTTGATCTTGGAATACATACATACGCGCACACACAAAGAAAAAAAAAAGTACGGAAATGGCGGCGTTATTTGACTGAAGGATTGTTATCAGCATGGTGGCCGAAAGAATGGTTATGCGCATAGTTGCCAGAGTTTGGCGTATTCTGAAAATTTGGCGGCTTCCACTAATCTGGTTGTGTTAATACGCAAGTACCTGTTTAAGAAACCCATGTATCTATTTTGATATTTATTATCAGGAGACCCTAGGATGCTCTGCGTCAAAATTGGGTGGAGCTGTACAGTTAATGCAGTGGAACTGTTCCTATGTGACGAATGGTTACATTCTGGAGTCTTGTTCTTGGATCTTGTTTATGGAATGTTGCTATTATCTGACCTCCCGTCCTTTTTTTTTTTTTTTTTTTACTTGAAACTTTGCTAAGGTGTTATTGTCTTTATCTGAGTCCTGCAAATCGAATCGAAGGCTAAAAGCGAAGTTGTTGCCAATGCACGCAGCATAATACCTTTCATTTGTTCTCCAAATTATAAAATTACGTTACTTATCAGCAAAACAAGAGTATATCATTGAAGAATAAATGTTTAGTAATAATATTTTACTAGCAGTGTCATTAAAATTTATACTCTTGATATTATTGTTATTAATAAAGGAACATATATTATTCATATTATTTAACTCCAATGAATTCTCATCTTACAGAATTTTTGTCAAAGATATCTTTCAATAGTGAAGCCTAACGATACCTGTAAAATTCTGTAGCAAAGTCTAAATTGTGATTACCTATGTAATCTTTCTTCTATGAACACAAAAGCCGGCTAGCTCTAAAAGTATTTATTAACTGAGCGCAGAAACAGTTGCAAAGAAAAAATATACATCGAAACCGAACATAAACCGTAGCGGTACACCTAACATTTAGTATTAACGTTGGATTC